AACTGAAATCCCTGCCTTCATGAGGTAAATAAGTAGACTGCAGAGTATGTTAAATAGTGCTACGAGAAACGAAGCAGGAAAGGGATTCAGGACACAGTGGAGGGTGAAGGTGTATGATTTTATACTGAAGGGCCACAAAAGGCTGTGCTGGTTGATAAGGGAACACTTGAGAAGTGATCTGGGTGCAGGTGCCTTCAGAGTTCAGAAGAGGGTGCTGGAGCTGGTGTTACAGGCAGTTGTGAGCCACCCAACATGGATGCTGGGATCTGAACTTGGGTCTTCTGTAAGAGCAGTATCTGCTCTTAATTGCTGAGCCATTTTTCCAGCCCAAGAAGGAATTGGTTTTCACTCTTAACAAAAAAGCAAGAAGAAGTCAGGCATGGTGGTACATGACTTTAATTCCAGCACTTGGGAGGCAGAGGCAGGAGGATCTCTGTGAGATCAGGAACAGCCTGGTCTTCATAGTGAGTTCCAGGTCAGCTACGGCTACAGGAGACCCTGTTTCAAAAAGACCGAAAAAGAAAAGAAAAGAAAAAAAAATTCAAGAAGCGCCCTTGGAAGTTTTCAAGCTGAGGAACTGCAGGGTGTAGTGTTTCATAACATCACTCCGGCTGCTAACCTGAAGAGACTGAAGGCGCAGAAGAGGGAGAACAAGGCAAACCAGGAAGCACTGCAGCAATCTAGGCAAGAGGCAAGGCACTATTTTTGCGTAGGGAAAAAGAAAGGGAAGACTAAGGGTTTGGGGTTTCACTTAAAAAAGACAGATGTTTTTACTCCCTCAAAACGTAAAAAATGCACTTCATATCATTAAACTAAGCATTTTATCTAACTGACAGGGACTGTATGTATTTAAAACACAACATGACATTCTGAAGCAAAGCACTTTTTGGATTCATATGACTCTGATTTCTCCTTAGATATAATCACAAGAAAAAAAAAGCAGTATACTTTAAAGGAACTGCTCTCTAGAATTTGAGACGGGAAAAAGGAAGGGAGAAGGGAATGCATGAGTTGTTATGAGTCATACTTATGTACTTGAAATGATTACCTTTGGAGACAGAGAAATATTCATCGGTGAACTTATAAAATATTTGAGTTTTACTTTCAAATTAGTCAAAGCGTTAGGTGGGAGGAATAGGAGAGACTGGGTTGTGATGACAATTACCAAAGTTGGGTAAGGGATAAATGGGGACTCATTCTACTTTCTATACTTTTAGATACTATAGTGGACAACATGGGGCTAGGATATATTTGATGGCAATAATGTAATCACCAGGCTCTGGCGATTCTGGAGCAAGGTCCCTACATAAAAGAAAGACTCAGGACGTTAAGGCAGAAATATGAATTTGGGACCAGCCCGGGATACATAAAGAAACCCTTTCTCAAAAAAATTAAAAGAATATAAGCCTGAATAATTAACTAATATAAGCCTCAATACAGAAATACAAAAGCACATAGTCAAAGATCTAGGTTCTTAAACATTCATCTTGCGGTTAACCGCTGTCATTACAGGCCAGTGCTTCCTTTTCTATGCTTTCACTCATGGTATGGGAGAAAGACAAAGAAAAGGTCATTCCAAGGCCTGGCTTGGTGGTGTACACCTTTAATCCCAGCACCGGGAGGCAGAAGCGGGCAGATCTCTTATGTTTAAGGCCAGCCTGGTCTATATAAAGAGTTCAAGGCCAGACAGGGCTACAAAGTGAGACCTTTTTGGTCTCCAAAAAACTTATGAGTTAATTCCAAGCTGATGGTGAATTAAATCAGATACTTGTTAATTTATATAGGTGGAGAGTACTTACAATGGACCAGCTGTTGTGAATGCAAAGGATATAGAACAATTAAGATATGGTCCCTGTCCTGGTCCCTGTCTCCGCTAGTGAGATATCCAGACTTAATGTGCTATACAGAAACCCAAGCTCACTTTAAATGTCATATAGCAGCACTAATAAAAAATAAAACATGAGTCACAGATGTAAGTCACATATATTATTTCTAAATTTCAAGTAACCACATTTTAAAAGCAATTTTTTAATTTTAAAAATTATATTACAGGGGGATGGGCACATGAGGGGGTCAGAGGGCAACTTTCGGAAATCAGTTCTCTCCCTTTACCCTGTGGGTCCCAGAGAGCAAACTCAGATCCTTAGACTTGGTGACAAGCACCTTTACCCACGGAGCTATCTTGCTGTGGCCTAGAAAGTTATAGATAATCCCAGTTTTTCATATTGTTTTCAAAATCCATTATGTTTCTATGTCTCTCAGTGAATCAGGAGAGACAGTCTTACAGCCTCCTTTTACAATTACCAGTGCAAGTCCAAAGGGACATTTATGATCAATTTAAGGATGCCTCTCCCAGTCAACATCCTCCCCACACCACCTCCCAAGTGCTGGGAGTACAGGCCTGCCACCAAGCCCAGCTGAAAAAAAAAGCTGTTAGGCTGTGCCTGTATGTTAGTCATTTTCTGCTTTCTAGGCTGGTCCACCTTGAACTCCGCCACTGTTTTTCCAAACACAGAGACACTACTGCACTCACTCCTTCTTTCCTAGCCTGCTCATTATTCATTCAGCAAACACACTCAAGGCTAACCCTACCCCAAATGTGAAGGGCTGAGAACAGACATGAGTAAGGGATCACTATTTTCATAGGAATCCTCAACATTTAATATGTGCCAAAGACGTCTAACTCTAAGAGAACACATAATACTGTGTAAACTCTAAGAGAACACAGTATTATGTTGCCCTGTACATAAATCTTATGTGTCTAAAAGTCTAAATCAGTGTTGTACAAAACAATTTGCTGTTACAAATATTCTTTTCTGAGCATAAATTTTAATGGCCTAATGTAGTAAATAGCTACCATACAGGGTGAACTATCAGAATAAGCAAGGGACCCTGCCCAGTGACAGAACACTTGACTAGCATGTATGAGGCAGTGGGTTTGATCTCCAGCACTGTCAAAAATACTAATACAGCAGGTACCAGAATGGGACTACCAGTGTTACAACTATGAGGTTGTTATGAGGTAATATAGTATGTTGCTGAAAATAGGTACACAAGTTATGCCAGAGTCAGAATTTTTTTAGTATCAAGTAACTTGAATAGTGTGTGAAAGAGAGAAAGGAAAAGGAGAGAAACAAAAGATAAAGGAGGAAAAGCTGTTCCACACATTCTAAAGGGAAACAGCCTTTCTCATCACGTCAGGCAGTAAAAACATTTTGTAGAAATGTAGAAAACAACCTTTTTTCCTCAATTGTAAAGAACTGGAGTGCAGAATTGTCTCTGTAACACTATGACAATAGTGGAGGAGAAAGGGCTCAGCAGATAAATACCCCAGCCACCAAGCCTGAGCAATCCCCAGAGTTCAATCCCCAGGATCCCAGGCTGGAAGGGGATCGCCGACTCCACAGGTTTTCCTGACCTCTACACAAGTGAGCGCACCCACACAACAAATGTAATTCTAAAAAATATCTTATTTTAGTGAAAACATTAACTGAAAATCATGACTCATATAAGTATTCCTAACTAAATCACCTGCCCTTGTAATTTATCAATCTCTCTCAAATTGCGCACATATATGAATTTTACAGTTAATCTAATGCTAAAATACATGGTGACTCAACTCACTAAGCAAATGTTAGCATAACCTAAACTACAATTTTTTGAACTGAATTAATTCTTGCTGTGGCAACTAGAGTAGCTGTTTATGATTACAACTGTAAAGACACATCCAGTTCTCCTTGTTTTAGATTATACAAGTGATTATACAAGCTTAATCAGAGATATGAAGCTCTGCATTGGCACAGGTCTTAGATCTGACATCTTAAAAGTAAAACCAGTAAAGCGAGCAACTAAATATCAGAGATAGTATTTTCATCACAGCAACTTGTTCTACTTGCTAACCAGTGCAGTAAGACAGCTGCTTTATAAATTAACCACCGAGCTTCCGGTTCTTCTTTTCGCCTGTGTGTATCTGAAGGCATTTTCTCCAACATTACCAGACCTCTGGATGATGAAAAGGTAAGAGTAAGATTTTATTGACGCTAACAAAAGTACCTGACACTAAGAAACAGTGCCTTAATATATTAGGAAAAGCTTGAAAAGACCGACTTAAGATTATCTTCCTGCCATACAAAGCGCCATCAAATAAATGGTATTAAATGAACCCTTCTTCACACGAGGTCTTGGAAATAAAAAAAAAAAAAAAAAAGGCGACCAGATTTGTAATAATTAACTTCCAGAGTCAAATTACTGTACTACGGGCTTGCTGCAAGAGAGCCAAACTAGTACAGCATGGTATTATAATGACATCATTCGCTTGGATTCCTAATGAAGCTGGGATATCTCAATCTGCAACAGCTAGCTAAAAATAAAGACCCAACATTTGTATGAGGGAGTGGCAGGCAGTTTTATTTATAAGATTTATTTAAGTATGACGGCCACTGTAAAGTGCAGAAACAGGAGGTTGACTGAAATATACTTCTTACTTTCTACCGCTGGGAAAAAGAATTATGAACATTTTGATGCAAAACAACAGTTTTTGCTCCGCCTTGAGAACTAGCAGGCAAAAACGCTACGATTGACGGGTTTCTAAGGCTAAGTTCCTCCGACAGAAGGGATTTCGGCCCGGACTGCCCGGTCGCCAGTATTTCTGGGCTGCGGGGCCTGGAAGCAGGGAAACCCCTCCGCATTATTTCTGAAAGGTGGCGCTTCGCGGACACTTCCATCACCCTGACGCCGCCTTTGCTCCAGATGACCCGCAACGATGCAAAGTCAGCCCCCGGCCCGCGCTCGTTCCCACCGCCCCGAGTGCCGCGGGGTCTGCGTCCCGGAGAACTTGCACCTTGGCCCAACAGGCCGCCGCCCGGGAGCCGCTTCCGCGCGGAGGCCGAAGCCGCCCCGAACCTGCGGGCGCCTGCGCGAGCCGCTCGGAGCCCCGGAGCCGCGGCCTGGATCTCTGCAGCGCGCCCTCCCGCCGCCCTCCCGGCGCCGCCCGCACCTACCAGCTGCTGCCGGACCCAGCGCCACATGCCCGGCAGTCGCCGTGGCGGCCCGCGAGACGCGGCCGAGCGGCTGCAGGCGGAGGACGCCGAGCCCGAGCAGAGCGGGCGAGCCCTCAGCCTCAAGTTCCTCTCGCCGCCTCAGTCGCAGCGTCGCGCCCCCATCCCGCTGCACAGGCCCGACGTCTTACAGGCGCAGCTCGGAAGCCGCCCGTGCCCAGTGTGGCCCAACCTGCCGCCGCGCCGCTGCCACCTTCATCGCGGGCAGTTGTCACCCGGAGCGCCCCACAGCGCCGCCCGCCCCGCCCCCGCCCGACGCTCCGCCCCCACGCCGTAGCCCCGCCCCTCTCTCCGGGCCTGCCCCCTCCTGCTTCCTCCCGCCGCCCGGCGCTCCGCCTTCGCCCTGATAGCCCCGCCCCCACGCCTTGCGCACCGCCCCTCTTCCGAGCTCCCCCACTCCCCCGGGGTCTCTCTGTCCCGCCTCTGGCGCCGGACGTGACGAAAGCCGACTGGCGCCCAGGGCCGGGGAGAAGTCGGAGCCCGGGAGGCGAGTGGGCGAGGCCGGGTGTTCAGCCCTCGGGGAGAAGCTGTGTGCGCCGAGGTCACTGGCCGAGGCCGGCTCCGCGCGCTCTGTTGAAGGTCCGTTGTCCCCTTTCGGACACGCATTCGCACCCGCGGCAGTATTGTGACCCCGAAACTCGTCCCCAGAGGCCCCCTCTGGCTCCATTGATCACTGCGGGCGTGTGCTTCCGTGGACTCAGCCCGTGACCGAGGGGCGTGCTGTTGGGAAAGGATTGAAGGGTCTCAGGTTCCAGCCTGCTCCCGGGTTCCTGTGCAGTGGGTGACATAGGCCGCGCTAAAGTGGACGGGTTAAAGGGAAAACACTTCTTGGAAAGGCCGTTTCCTCCTGGTTGCCAAACACGCAATAATTGCAAAACGACGCTGGAAGTAGCTCGGCCTCTGTAACAATTTGTGTGGACTGTAAGGAGTTAAGCAGCCAGAACAGGCTTTGACTATTGTTAAAACGCTGTCAGGTCTTGGTGTCTGTGTCGTGTGCTGTGTTCCTGAATTAAAACCACCGGCAGACATTTGTGATTTGGAAAGTAACATTAAGCAGACACCTAAATCTAAATTAGCCTACTAGACAAGTCATTGAGTGCATAGTCAGTCTTTTAGTTTCAGTGAGCATTCCTTATATAACCCAGCACCATAAACAACCTTTCAGATATCTATGACCAGTGGAATTTTATATTATAAATTAACTTCGGAATATACTAGATATTTAAAAAGAAAAAGTAATTTATTTGTGTTCTTAGGACTGAACCTTTATGCCACCAGCATGAAGATACAGATAGGATGACAAATATTGCTACCATTCCTAAGCACTCTAGTTTATCCATCAGTCCTTTGCAGTACGTATTTTCCCAGTTGTGTAGATGAAGTAATGGAAACTCAGTTTTAAGTAACTTGGCAAGGCTGAGATTCAGAGTCCCGATTGTCAGGCAGTACAGCATATGTTCTTAAGCTGTATCTAAAAACAAGCTTATTCTCACATTTTGTTTCCAATGGATTTGGTTAAAAATTAGGCCTGAAGATTTTTTTTTTTATATGCCACCCAAGATTTGTCAAGATGGCATATGAGGATGTTTTATAGATCAATGAACTGGGTCCCAGTTTTTTTGTTTTTTGGTTTGGGTTTTTTTGTTTGGTGGTTTTTTTGTTTGTTTTGTTTTGGTCTTTTTAAGACAAAGTCTCTATAGCCACAGCTAGCCTGAAACTCACTATGTGGACCTCTGTCTCACAGAGATCTGCCTGCCTCTGCTTCCCTAGTGCTGGGATTAAAGGCCTGTGTCACCACATCCCCATGGGTCCCAAATTTTTAGAGGTAAAAGTGGGCAGGGTGGGGGTTCATTCTAGGTGCTTTAAGGGAATATGGTAGATTGTGATCTCAAGTGTGTAAAGGTCATAATGAAAGCTCAAATTGTCAGGAACAGAGCATGCAATACAGTAGTATGTTGTTTTAATCATTTTTTATTCCAGGATTAGACCAGGATCATAAACTAGGAGAGTATTTTTAGGCTATGCTTTAGGGGTGGCAAAATCCTCTGTTTATAATCAATGATTTTTCTTATTACATGCATTTACAGGGGTGCATCTCATGGAGAGTGGGTGGCTGTCAGAGGACAACTTGGATGAGTCAGTTCTCTACCATGGTTCTCAGTCACCTACCATGTAGGTTCCAGGGACTGAACTAAGGTAATCAGGCTCAGCAGGAAGTATCTTTCCCTGCTGAGCCATCTCACCAGTCCAGATCAGTGTTTCTTTTAAACAGGCTAGAAAACATCAGGATATATTGGACAGTGTAAGTAATTGGTGTTTTGTGAAATCTTGGTCTCAGTAGTATTTCCATGCATATATACGTATACCTACACACCAGGTTAAATTATAAGAGGAGTTTCTTCCTTATTCTTGTGATTGGAAAGCTTTGAAAACCAGGAAAACATGACTGAAGAAGGCAGACACTGAGTATAAAAAGAAAAATTTTGGAGTTAATGGTTATTTATCCTACAATTCTTTCTTAAAAGTTTCCACATCATATTTATGTATAATGACTGCCTAAAACTAGGAAAGGACACAAAACCCACTTTAAAGTGACCTACTATGCTCCAGGTGGAGTTTATAATCTAGTTGGAGAGAGAAGTTGCAGAAGGAGGGTGGTCAGTCAAGTAACAATCAAAGACATTATAGGATTGAATCAGTACACTGACAACAGTCACTAATTTCAGAAAGTTGATCTGAGCACTAGCAATTGGAGAAGGTGTCATATGAAAGCAACTATAATCATTTGTTTACTTATTTGTTTATCTTGAATTCCAGGCAAGTGCTTTATCACTGAACCACATCTAGATTTGAACTGGGTTTGAAATAAGAGGATAGAGCAAGGACAGGTTTTGCAACTAGAACTACCGGTTTCAAATGCTTGAGTCAGGTGTGGGGCAATAAGAGGTGGGTGAGGCTGGGTAAGTTCAGTCAGACAAGGTATAGAGAGAGTATTCGGATAATCACAAGTGTTTCTAGGAAATGGAGAATTCCTGGAGTTTTCTAAATAAGGAAACAGGATTTTTCTCTAGAGTGTTAAATGTGGTTGGCTGGTGGGAAAAAGAGGTCAAATAGTAAAGTTGAGTAGAAAGTGCTGAACCAGCAAAGGGCCAGGAGTAAAGCACGTTACAGGAAGTTGTGTAGGGATGCCATGGAAACCCGAAACTGAAGCCATTCCAAGATAGGTGGCAGATATTTCAGACAATGTTTATCAACATCATATAACAGCCTCTTAATTAATGGCAAACACAGTTCATTAGTAAATATGCTAACATAATTCTGTACTATGTATGTGTTGAGACATGTTCATTCTCAGGAAAAACAGAATACCAAACATCTCCAAACTTGATGTAGTGGGCTTTCTCAGGTATAACAGACAAAGACACTTTTCTTGATCAGAATATTTAGACCATCAATGAAAAGCACAGGCTGTGAGCTTGTGGAGATTCCCAGCTCATTCATTTTGGTACTTATAGTATCTAAACAATATTCAGTAAATGTTAAGTCAACCAATGAGGCCAGTGACCGAGGAACTGAGGAAAAACATCTAGATCCAGAATATCAAAGCCATACAGAGTAAACCTTAGAGAATGATTGTAGTAGATCCTGAGCCATGGGAGACCCATAGTCTACAGCCTTTAGGTTAAGGGAAATTTCTACAATTTGTCTCCCAGGCTCTTCCAGGGTCAGTCTGCTTAGGGGACATTGAACCTTTCCAATGTATTGGCTTTATTGTTTCTAAAGCAACAGAACTCTTAGGCTGCAGGGGGCTGGAGAGATGGCTCAGTGGTTAAGAGCACTGGCTGCTTTTGAAGAGGACCCAGGTTCAAGTCCCAGCACCCATATGGTGAGTAACAACTATGATTCCAGTTCCAGGGGACCTGACGCCCTCTTCTGACCTCTTCAGGCATTGCACAACATGGGTGTACTTAAATGTATGCAATACACTCATACGCATAAAATAAAAATTTTTTTTTTTTTTAAAAAAGGGTGCTTGCTGCTCTTGCAACAGGCCCATGTCAGAAGCTCTTTACTGGCAGTAACTCCAGCTCCAAGGATCCAGTGCCTCTAGTCTCTGTGGGCACCTACACATAAGCACATACCCCACACAGAAACACATAATGAAAAATGAAATAAATCTTAAGAAATAAATGAAAAAACCCTAGAGAACTCAGTTGTATATGTGTCTGACTTAGAGAAGGAACTATGATAAATTGCTAATAGAAATATTTGTGGACTCAAATTGACCACAATAAAGCTGAAATTGGTAAAACTATTTTTCTTGTTTGGCAACCTCCAAAACTTAACCGTCTTTTGATTACTTGTACTGTACAGTTGAGCAGACAAACTCAGTAGTCTTCAAAAGACATTGCTTTTGTAACAGCTTTTTTTTTTTTTTTTACAGCTATCACATGGCACTTTCATTTCTTGAAGTGACATAGTTTGAGAGTTTAATTAAAATTACTGCATTGGGTTAGGGTTTGCTAGCAGTTGCTTCGTAGGTTTTCTAGGCTGAAGTTGTAGATAGTTGTAGTTAGTGGCAAAAAATTGTGGTCTTATTGCTCTTTTGCCTGAATTAGGGTAATCTGAAAATTGTTTTGTAAAATCCTAGCTCATCCGCAAACATTTTCTGTTTTCTTAACTTTTATAGAACGTCATTAGCCCCATCCCTCCTGTGTTGACTATTAGTGCGAATGAATACACTTTAAGCCCCATCTCAGCTCTGCAGAGCTTATCAGAAGTGCTCATCTGAGGAGCAATGTTTGCAAAGGATTTCCTGAACATGGTGCACTTTTTTGAAAATCTAGATTTTACTTTTAAATGCTAGAAAATCTACCCAAATGCATGCTTTGGTACTCTTCATGTTAGTCTAGAATTGCAGTGCAGAGTCACACAAGCAGTCTAAGTATAGGGACTGTAGGAGAAGCAGCCTTAGGAACTGTAGCTGTGAGACTGTATTTTATGGCTGAAAATACTACTCTCCTCAACTGTGTTCTCACACTAAGCAGCTGCAGAAAGTCAGTAGTGCCACAAAAAACTGAAACAGCTAGTTTGTTTTGTAATCTTGTGGGTATTTTAGTTACGTGAACATGCTTCCTGTCATTGCTGTGGTGGTTTTTGCAGTTACAGCCACTGCTCAGATCCCATGATGTACATTTGTTAATTACTTTCACCTCACTTTATTATTTTGTCTACTCTTGGCTTCCCT